GTAAAGAGTGTATAAAAATGTCTTGTAAATCTATGGATTAGAAAAGGGAAATATGTCAAATTCACTTCAAAACTGCTGGTCTATCTAGAAGGTAATAAATAAAGATTGTATGAGAAAAACTAAACAAAGTCAGAAGCTGACACTGCCTTCCTGAATCAAAATCTTGACTAGCAGCTGTCCTTTACTCAGACTAAACAGATCAGTAAAAGATTGGAGTAACTCTTAGACTGTAAATAGTGCATTTTGTACAGTAAAGTTTCACAGAGGGTCCCACGTTTCCAAAGCATTTAAGTCATGCTAGGACACTAACCAGCTGGTATTTTCATCCTTTGGCCCCAAATTTTGTGGCTAGAGTTGAGGCATCTGAACAAGGTACTTTTCAGGAGCCAGTACACCTACAGGACAAGCTACTTCAGCTACGTGGGAGGCATGTCCTTTGGAGAGTGGTTACACCATGTCAGCTGCTCAAAAGTTCAACTGGCTGTCAGGGCAGCAAAACATGTTTCCCTTTACTCAGGATCATTAGTTGTAAACCCTTTCCAATTAGGCACTAAAACTAAACCAGTTATATAAGTTGTAGATACTTTAGTGGTTGAGAGATGGGGGGATTTTTTTTATGTCCATCCCACATTTCCCAATGCCTCTAAGTTGTCTTGCACAGGTATTAGTCTGCTCATCCATAGCTTATGCCCACTTTCCCAGTGACAGAGGACAAATGTTAAGCAACCTGTGAACACACCTGTGCGACTAGCCAGTTCATAAGCCAGACACATTTTTTTTTAGTCACATGAAAATAACCACATATGATTTAAGAAGCTTATTTTCTACAAGACATCTTTGCAAATGCCACCTGATGGGATACCACCTTGACACCAACATATAGCAGCTCTGAAAAGGGTGCTGAAAGGAGGAGGCTGAAGTACCAAGTAGCTGAGCTACAAGTCCAAATCATGATCCTTCCAGCATTTGTGACTACTTTTGTTCCAAATCAAGAAAGGCTTCCAGAGCATCTAATTGGCTACATAAAGTCCTGAAGAAGAAATCTTAATTGTTAGAGAGCTTTGTATGTATTTCAGTAGACTTGAATATACAGGATGTTTTAGATGGGTGTTAATAATAAAATGCAGAGAGATGGTTCTGGAAGCACCTGTGCTTTATAATTATTGGGAAAAAATTATGAGTATTGTACAGGTGCATGTTAGCTGAAACTAATTCCTGTTTTCATTGCCTGCTGAGGTCTCACATTCCTGTGTACTGTGCCCTTTAACAAGACCTTTTGGTGCGCATTTAGCAAAACTAACAACATTGCATATTAAAAGTGCATTTCTTATATACCAGTATCACTGAATCTACATTAACTGTAGCCCAAGAAGTTGTGTAGGACAGTCACCTGTATTCATCTTCTCCAAACATGTGTCCTGGCAACTTTCATGTATTGTCCTGCCTGTAGCTATTGAGGTTCCTATTCCTACAAGAATAAGCACTTTCACAGTCAGATACCTGCTCTGGCTTCTCAGAGCAGATATGCTGCCAGAGTGGTGGCCTCAGCAAACATGCAAGGACTCCTTCACATGCGGGTGGCCCATCAGCTCTGCCATTAACTCTCTGCAATCTTGTCCCAGCACAGCCACCAAAAGTAACATGGCTTAGAAGAGAGACGCATTGCCAAGTGAATTTTGTGACAGATGGACCTTCATCCTATGAAAAACTGAGCATAACATTTTAAAAACTATTTAAGTAACAGCATTTCAAACTAAGTCATTTTATAAAAATACAAAATAGGCAGATTACTCTCACCACAGATCTGTGTTGCAGATTACAAGCAAGTTTTTTATAGTCTGCAAGACATAAACATGTTTAGAGAATACAGATTTAAAGAAAAATAGGTAAGATACTATCTAAGAGTCAGTATTCACTTAGAGCAATGTTGTTATCTAATGTCTTGGAATATTCCAAATGACTAGCAGTAAATAAATTAAATTGTATGCTTTATGATCTAACATAGTCTACTAGTAGAAATGTGCATTAAGAAAAGCAAGTCAAATGACATATAGAGGTATACCTGAAATTACAGTAACTGAAAACTTAAGATATTAAAATATAATACTGCTATTAAAAGTGAACTGAAACATTCAGTGTGAGTTAAGTAACATTTTTAAGTGTATGCAGATACTCTGTATTGATGTACAGTCACAGGTACCAACTTGAGATACTGTCAGAAACATGTTTCATTTTTTTAGGTTTGAAGTAAAGGATGGTGAGAAGCTGTGTGTATTATATGCTAAAGTCTGCAGGTAGCTAAGATGAGCTTCAGTCATTGGGGGGAGGGGGGGGGGAAGACCACATTCAGTGCTCCTACTTATTCTAAAATACTAGGAAGAGGGTACATGCAGACGGTTATCATCAGGACAAGATTTCAATTCTGACAAGATACTGAGCCCCTGCTCCATTAGCCATGCCTAGTGCATGCTGCTGCCAGTAGGGAGGAAAAAAAAAGATGAGAAGAAATTCTAAAGAAAATTAGAAATGCAAATTTACTTTAATTCAACGTCCTGCTTTGTAAATAGTGGCAAAAGCTCTAAGTCGAAGTACTTAAGCAAACCGAAACTCTCCCTAAAATTTATGTAGTCTTTCATATTTCTTTTTACGGTTTGTAGTATTGAAGAATGAGCCTTAGTTAACATCTACAGTTTTCAAGTGGTCTTCCATGCACTGGCTGTAGCTGAAACTGCTTCCTTTTCTAAAAATCAGTTGTGTGCAGTACATCCAGGGCATGCTTCAGTCAGTAGCTCAAACATACATTGAGATGGTTTTGAAGAATCCAATTTCTCCAAGAAAATTTGCAATAGGATTAAGATGACAGTTTACTATAAAATATGTACCTTCAATATGACTAGGAGATGCACACAGATTAGAACCCTGACACTTCTAACCCAGTTTCTTGTGTGTATATTGTTTTTATAAAGTGAAAACTGTGTTAAAACAGCATACTTAATTCCCTTCTGAGAAGATAAGGGATCTTGTAGCAGTCTGCTTAAAGTGCCTAGTGTTCTGCCATTAAAAAAAAAATAAAAATGCTATTGGTTTTGTCATCAGGGCTAATGAGGCACTGTAAGAAGACTGTAATAGAAGTATACTACTTCCTTCCCCCCCCTTACGCATCCCATTTCCTTTGTACACTAATGATTGACTTAGCATTCTCAGTCAAGTTTTCTGTAGAATACATTACACTATTTGTTAATACAGACTACATTTTTCTTCCACCTCCTGCCTGAGAATATGCCACAGGGTGTCTTCGTGATACCTACAGATTTTTTAATACGTAATATTGTAATGATCAGCCATCATTGCCTTTTTCTAAACAATAAAGATTAGCTTCTTTGTTTGTGTTTTTTTTGGTTTTTTGTTTTTGTTTTAATTGTTGTTGTTTTGGTTTGGGTTTTTTGGTAATAAACACATCTTAGTTTGTCTAGAATGGGATACAAAGTATGTAAGGTCAAGAAATGCCCAACATCAGCTACCTTTTACAATCAGGTATCCCAGATACCTCACATTTGAGGTATTAAGAATGCACTAAAATCCTACTTTGTTTTGCGCTTGCAGATAGTATAGAAAAACTTGTCAGAGAACCTGAGGAGGCGCAAGGGAAATATGGGGAACAGCTATAAAGATGCTTTCCCTTACAGTCATCATTGCTAATTGAACACAACCCATCATAAGCTATATATGATGGGGCTACAATTGTTAAGTAGTAAAACCTGTGAGCTTCTCGAGTTCCTGTTTAGCAGGTTGAAAAGACATAGCAAAAAAACCTGCCTAGCATTCAATGGTTTCCTAAACTTTCAGTGAAAAGTTGGCTGGGGCTGTTACTGAAATTAGGTTCCAGTTCTGTACTGTAAAAGCAAGGTTCTTGTTCTGGTGATCTGTTTATAAAGAAACAGAATGTAATGGTTTATTGTTCTGCCCTAACTGAAAAAAAAAAAATTTTTGCTTGTGCATGTCAGTGAGTAGACAATAGAAGGATGAAGTCCTGAATGTAATATGCCAGTACATTTTCTTTATACTAGAGTACTGGCAATATTTATTGAGAACATCAGAATAAAATAGAACACAATGCAACTTCAGCAAAGCAGCCATTAGCACTAAGACTACACATGCTTTTTTTTTCCACATAGGCGGCCTTCAACCCAAATTTCTAACTTAATTTTGTTCTAGAATATGCTTCCCTTGCTCCCTTCTCTCATTACCTAATGCTTTCTTATTACTTCCAGATTTTTAAGGTACGGTTTTTTCTAGTTCAGTGTACAGTTAATTAAATAGCTATAATTTAAATAAATTGTGCTGGGATGCTTTTAAAAGTTATAATACAATAATATTTATACAAAACAAAAAATAAAGTACATCCCTGCCAACCCGTCTCAGAATACTTTTGATCATAGGTAGGCTTACAGTCAACAAGCCTCTTCAAAATACCTTGGTTTTCCCAGTGATGTTCATTATTTTCCTGTTGTGCTTGCCTCTATTTGAGCTATAAACAAAAATGAACACCTCTGCAACCACATGTTTCTGGCTAACAAAATTATATTTGTAAAGCACATATATATACACACGTGTGTGTATATATATCTGCAAATACCCATGGTCAAACAAACTCAACTTATCTACCCACATACACCCCCCACCACCACCTTTCAATTAATCCTGTAATCAGACATGGGCTTTGGTCAACATTTCCATAACAGCATGTTAAGGGCTGTACCTTTATCGTAGCTCATTGTCATACCCTTTCCCTGCACAGTTCTGTGTTAAATCAGACATGCCTACATTAGTTACTCTTACAGCATTCATGAGTACAGGCACCACTGAACAGTGATCTCACTTGTTAAGATCTAAAAGTGTAACTCTACGCAGAAAGAAAGCAACAGCTGTTGTGAAGAGGTGAGG